GATCACAGATGTTTCAAATATGCCACTGTTCGTTAAAATAGATTTTAGGGCTAATTAGCTCTTTGTAATCTGAATTTCAACTGCGCAGTGTTCGATTTCCGATTTTCAGATAATGTATTTTTCCGAGTGAGATGCGTCCAAAATAGCCAACAATGTACAAGAGGTTACCATAACTCATTTGCTTATTTGATAGTCGGAAATTAGTGACACCAGTTAATGTAATTAGTATTATGTATTTCCGACAATGTGAAAAATTATAGTGACGTCATACGTTTTTTTTGAGTGAAATTAATTTTGGCGTCATAGCAGAGATGTTCATGTGATATGATGTCATAAATTAATATAAAAAATTTCGCAAAATACGAAAATTGCCGTTGTACGGAAGATCCGTATGTTATTCACGCAAGTATACTGGATAATAAGTTGAATATAAAAAAAAACTAATAAACCGCGTCACCAGTAAACTTGAAGTCATAGTAGCTATTTCTATTTGTGCCAAGGGTGCAGGGACTCACCCAAATCTTACCCTCTTTGTAATTTTATGAAATCGCTCATCTGGGACTTTTAAAGAGAGGGGCGTAGGAGTAATATTAAAACGTATCTGCGCATTTCTTGATATGTTCAATAAAGGTGATATGGCAATATTGTTAGCAACGCAATGCAGATCGTTGCTTTATATAGTAGTAAAATCGCCCAGCTTTACACGACCAATCCAGCTTTTTTTAACTGTTATAACATCTCATGACCACCCCCCGTCCCAAGATCGGTCTTTCAAAATCGGTAACAGCAAAATGACCTACGCTGACCATGCAGTTTATAGTGACTGTTTTGTACCATTGACCGACAAACAATTCAACTCAGCGTTGTATTTTAACATCTCCGGCTAAAATACACCTGGTCACACATGATTTATTTCCAAAAAATTGTGTTCGAACAAATTACATTTGCATGCGAAAAGTACATAATAATCAAGAATATATATTACAATAACCGCTATATATCATGCATCAAACTTTTCTAATATTCCGTTGTCATCCATTCAATATCCAGAAACGTTATGGAGGTATTTAGAAGAATTTTTATAAAATAACCTATTTTTTTGCCAAAATAGGCATGGGTTTCAAAATCCGGTCAATCCTATTTTAAGACATGAGAAACCCAATACACAGATTACAAAATTCAATTGGTGCGTGCGTCTCCTGCCGAAATTTTAATGAATTTATATTTATATTCATGGATTGTAATAGATAACCTTTTCTAGTGCACAGTAGTTCTGGCTTATAAACAAATTTCTAGAAATGCAACCAGTTTGTCTTTTTCCCCATATTTACTGTGTCTACCTTTTTCCAGATTGACCTTACACTTTTCTGACAATATTCACTTGTCTTATCCTCATTGAACCTTTTGTTCTTCAAATAACAGTTTTCCTTCCACATGTTTTTAAATGACTCAAAATTATCTTATATATATATACTATAAACTTTCTATTTTAATGTTCTCGAGTTTGCTTGGAAAGTTTTCCTTCTCCTGATCTTTGACAGACTTCCGTACACGTTCAATGATCTTCTGTCAGCTTCGTTTTTTCCCAAATCTGTGACTAGGAAAACAAAACATAAATTTATTTTACAAAATAATATAAAGTTTACCTTTTTTAAAAAAATATAGGACTAGACTACATTTACTGCGAAATCCTATTCTGTCGCACTGGATAGGACTATCACGTCTGTTCCATATATTTTCATGTCTTCCATAATTAGGTAGCGAGATACTTTGCAGACTCAAAGTGATAACATCATCTCAAACTATTTCTTTGCATACAATATCTCAGAGCCTTTGTTTTACATAATAACATGTCCCGCATCCTTATGTACAAACTGAATTGCCTTTGATTCAAAACGATAACTAAAACCAACTTCTCTCATCGCTCCTGACAGAGCAGACGCAGACCATATATGACGTCATATGTCTCGTCTGCAATTTGCACATTTTGTCAGAGTGAAATATACCATAGAAGTGTCGCAAGTCCCAGATAAGTTTCCGGTGAATTATTGGAATACCAAACGATAGCGAAAATATTTTCTTGTTAATCCTCCAAATTCTGGCCAAAAGATAACCGGGTTAGAAAAGAGAAAATCATGATTTATTTTTGTAGCCACAATTTAGCAAAAATAGCAAAACGGGATATAGCTAGGCCTAGAAACTGTCGGCAAAAACCAGAGTTCTTTTGCTTGAATTTCAAATCCAACATTATGTGGTGATAGTTGAGGGTAATGTTGAAAATGACGAAAAGTTTCAGACTTTTTGCTTGAGGGATTTATGTAGAAAATAAAGCCCAAACTATTTGGGCGACAACAAAATGTGGCCCAAAAATTCCCGTCGCCCAAATACAGCGAAAATAACTCCGTGTTGTCGACCAAATTGATAAAATAGAAATATATATATATGTATATATATATATATACAATACGCTCCACAGTAAGTGGGCATAAAATTTATAAAAGGATGGCAGGCATATGCTTGCGTGATAAATTGAATATTACATTATGTGATCTTCATCCACAATACACTTAAATAATGAAGGAAGGGAACAGATTGAATCCTCTACCCAAATTTGCCCATGACATAGTATTGAAACTTAAAATCTGGTTTTAATTATGGTACTTCGAGTCAACGCTGATTTAAATCCTTCATGCCGTCTGTGATTTATTGGATCAGAGCATTCGACAACCTATTGTTATAAAATAGCACTGTGTAACATAATTTTTGTTCCTGACCCCTTTATTTCCTAATTGATTATGCCCCAAAATTGAAAAACATAGTCCTGTGCAGCTGTGCTATTTCCTTGTGTTTCTATAAATGCAAGTGTAAACTCAAAGTGGAATAGATTTTTAACATGCACCATACACATAACTTATTAAATTATCAAGAACACATTCAAATACCACCACTCTATATTGTAATTAAAAGTTTTATGCCTAAAAACAACCCACTCCCTCCCCAATTTTCTCAAAAGCAAAATTGAAGAAGGAAGCATGATTTTCCGAGTGTACATATCAGAAGCTAACAGGAAATCTAGTTAAAAAGCTGAAAACAAAAACATAATGCAATCATTGTAAAATATTTTCAATCGAAACGAGTCAACCTGTACGCTTAACGAAAATTAGAGATTGTGATATTCCCCTATTCCAGGAGCACATTTATTTGGCACGCGAGCGAGGCCTCGGAAAGTTTCAAAATTCTGAATTATCTGATGAAACTTGGTGTCGTGCGTTTGTTAACAATCCGTTATGTATTTGAACTCTTTTCGTCCTTTCATGACATGTATATGGCTACAAAGAAGTATATTATGACGTAACAAATGAGTGGGCTGTCGAGAAGAGCGCAGCATTCACTTGGCTACATTCTTACATAATATATTTCGTCTGTGTCACCCTTTTTTATATTTCTGCTTAATTTATGAAGTTGTACAGCCTATGTTAGTTAGAGTTACTTGCTAAATTACTGTTATAAATTGATTTCGAAGGGAATCTGAGCGATTAAGGAAAGGGAAACAAGAGAGAAGTGCAGAAAACGAATTATTGCGTGATTGGGATGCCATTCCCCGAAATTTTGCGTGTCTCAATAACTTTTCAACTGCATTACTCTCCATGTTTTCATCTACATTATGCTTGTTAATTCTCTGTTCTCAGTTATGAACTTTATTAGGTCTCGTGACAGAAGTAGCCTGAAGGATGAAACCCATAATTTGTGTATTTCTTTGAAAGTTACAAAATATAAACCCAATGAAAAATCTCTATCAGCGGTAATCCCACTGATATAGAATAAGAAAAGTAATCAAATCTATTTGTTGGACTGATATATTCCTGAATACTGAATCTGTCTGTGCTTGTTTAGAAGGTTTATTATTGTGAATTTTTGCTTTGAAAGTAACAAAGCATGGTTTTTAATTTGGCACAAGGGAGAATTTTGTCGTTAAATTTAACCGATTTTGGCACGCGAGCCGAAAAAGGTTGCCCACCCCTGCCCTATTCGATTCAATTAAAACTTCCCTGCTTTAACGTCGGATAGCAATTTTTGATGCATTGGTTTCAATAAATACCATGTTGTTTTGTGACATGAGCAACTATAAATTTGGTTCCGAGCAAAAACACGCTTTATTCTGTATGCATAGTTGTTTTTGTCACCGCTTGGAACAAAAACAGTGGATAGATTTGCTACTGAATTAAAGTAATTGAATATAATTACCCAAAGGTATATAAAAAATATTATTGCTTCACTGCTTTTTGTGATTTGTATCTGCAAAGTAATTGCTGGAAGTTTCTACAAAAAGTATCAATATCTGGTGACCAGCAGCACAGGCAGGATTTTTTTTTATGGGGATTAGCTTGGAAGGAAAACATTGCTTCACAAGTACAATTCGCCATCAGGGTCTTCGCGTTAAAAAAGTATAAAATACTTGTTGTTAGTGGAGAAATGTCGTTGAATAAATTCTAGTATTGCAGAAAGGCCAAATAACAGCAAAATAATTTGCATATGGCATACATCACTTTGTCTTATTATCGTTTATATGCATAAAAATAAACTCATGTAGCGCCGATTAAATGTACATAGCCTGGTTGCAAGCCTCGTGAAACCATCATAACCATGCTCTCATAATCTGAAAGTGATACCTATCTAGATCTCCCATATTAGGCAAGATGTTAGAAATAACAAAAGACTTCAATAATCATGATTTTCATAACATAAGTTCAACATACTCCAATGATCATATAACATTTCACTTATCAAAAAATGTTCTTCATCTGTATGTGGTCATCCCTAGTGGTGGGATTAAAATTTTTTGTCAGCTGGTTCCTTCACAGAAGTCAAATTTTTCAGCCGGTTCTGTTCCAAACAGAACATTGACAGTAATCAGTAATGCTAACCGGTTCGCTTATCTCATAGAGTTCCATGAGACGGTTCTATAGAACCGGTGCAAACCGGCTGAATCCCACCACTGATCATCCCCTCACCCTTCCCCAATATTGAACTTGTACCGACTGCTTTAAACACCAATAAAAGCTTGAGAATCAGAATACCAAGCCATCATACAAGAAAACCCAAAATTGAAAAAATGCTGTTAGTAATAATAATTTGTGTAGGTTTTCAAGAGTTATCTAGAACTTTTATTTACTAATTGATTCAAAACACAGTATTCATCTCATTTGCAGATACAATAATCAGTTTGTCACTCTTATAAATATCTTTACTTTCACATTGTTGCATATCTCAGTAAACTCTCATTTGTTACAAGTTGTGGCTCAGGAGTTGGAGGTTTCCATGTTACATGTTTGTATAAATTACTGTAATCTCTTGGTTTTGGCTCAAGATCATATTTCCATGCTCTATCTGGAAAATTAGAATATCTATGTAGTGCGAATACCCACTGAATGTATCTTTTTTATATCTTTTTTTGGCTGATATACTACGAAAGCCCTATTGCAAGATTAATCATAGACATAAATTAAAGCTAAGCTAATCCATGGTCGTTTCAGTTCTTCTATCAGTTCTCTTCACTTTTAGTTGAAGGAACCATGGTTTGAGCAAACTTCATAAAAGCTTTGTATCTATAATATCTCACCTTCATCAAGAGCATAAGTTTCAACTGGCACTGGATCAGGAAGAAAGATTTGTTGTTTTTGAACCTAAATTTATAGTATTATTATTATTATGGATTTTGTGGTGAAAATTCATTTGCAACATTTGTGTAAACAAAGTAAAATAAATTAGGTTATAGTTTATGGCTTTAGAACTGGCTTTCTGGTCTGGTGTCATTCCTAGACATGAAAAGACATATCTTGTTATTCCTGTTCTAAGTAATTGCATTTGAGCTTGCAGTTAATTAAATTGAATAATAGATAAATTTGAAAATATTTAAGAATACCTGCCATATAAACGATGTGTTTAATCTATAATTTGCTTCATTTACAACCAACTGTATAAATCCTTCTGTATCCAATTTATGTAATGTGACGGTGAAATGTTTTCGTATTAAACATTCTGGACGCCACAAATTTTCCCAGGGTATTTCCTGAACAAAACAAATCTCTATTTCCTGGGTAATTACTATAATGGCCAAAATAGTACATTTATCTTATCTGCAAATGATTTGACCTAGTAATTACTGCAAGTTCAAGGTCTTGCTTTTTTATTTTGTATTAATGTTGTATTGTCATATTAGGGTGTATTAATCAATAATTAGACATATGAGACAGAATCCAATCCCGAAGTATGAAATGTCTCAATGCTGAAATGCCTCATCTGTTTTACCATAGTACATAGTCTTACCATCTTATTGGTGTCAATGCTGCACAGTGTTCTATCAATTGGTTCCAAAAAATAACAAGATTTCTTCCCTCTTCTGTTGCAATATTAAAACAGCTGTCCATGTAATGTAGCCATCCAGGCATACTCTCAACTCCTTTCTGCCAATATGGTATATCACAATAAGAAATGGATAATATAATGAGGTGAATACAAATATTTTGATTGTTATCTACCGGTAATAACGACCAAGTACAATAAAAATAATGGATTGTTTTTGATCAATGTTTTGGATTATTTTATTAAGGTAGTAAGTAGATACCACTAACTGCATCCAAAATATAATAGCTCAGTCGCCCATCTGTTCTGAACTGCAGATTTTTTTAATGTAACTCACTTGTAAAACATGTGGCTGATCTTCACATACCAGTACTGAGAGGAACTGTTTCTTTCTTCTTTCCAAACTTTGAAAAACATATATGGCAATCTTCTTTATTAAGACATCATTGTTCTTTATACCGGAAAATTCAACAAAACAGAGAATGCTGTAATTTCTTAATTTACGTTGAAAATTGAAATGCTCCATTTTGGTTAAGATATGTGTTGGATTTTGGAGCCACTCAATCTAGATTGGTGGTAATTACCTGCTATTAGTATACCGTTGGGTACTGGTACTTTTTATATTCATCCTACTCACAAGTAAATCATTAATTGAGACCCTTTAGAAAAAATTAATAACTTACCGTTCCATCTTGAATATGGAAAGCACAAAAACTACTCAATTCTTGAGTTTTAAAAATTACAGAATCACTTGATCTGAAAACATTAGTTCCTAACTTTTGCCATAAATCGCCGGTCAATGAGTTCTTGTGTTGAATTATGACGTTTTTGGCTTCGATGTCTGAAAATAATAGGTTGGTGGGTCTGAATTGTTATTCCAGTGTTTTTAGGCAGTAAGAGTTTGCAGTTCTAAAGCTTTTATTTTATCAATCAATCATGTAAATAGTTGAATTTTGAAACTGTTTGTGAAAGAAATTGGAGTAGGTAACTCTTAGTGCCAGCATGGAAAAGATGACAGCCTATGCTTTTATACATGTAACATTCTAGAAAGTTATATTAGGTCTTGTGTGTTGGTTTTATCCTTATGAACTTATAACATCACAAACCAGAGTGGTTTTGATATTTGAATATCAATGGAAATGAAAAAAGCATTCCTATTTCAGTCAACGCCTTCATTTATTAGTCAGTTGAGTGATTCAGTGAACACTAGGCTTTTATTTGAACATTATTTACTTGTAGTTTACTGACCTTCCTCTATCACTTTTAACTTTTTTTGAGTATTTTTTGAGCGTTCATCTACTTTTGATTGACCATCACTTCGCATTGCAATACTTGTTTGTAATCTGAAACATTATTTAAGATTTAGTATTGGACTGCCTGACATGTGCGAGTGTGGGCGACTTTTATGGGTCAAAATTCAAAAAGATCGATCAGAAATTAACTTACAGGCTGTGAGGTAAACCTTACATATTGCTGTTATATTAAACTGCAATTCATACCTGATAGTCACTGGTTTTGCAAAACTAAATTTTCTGGCTCAATCTTGACAGCAGCTGATATTGGTAATAATGATGGATTTCTTTCATTTGATACTCCAAATGTAGTATGTGGTACTTCTTGTATGTCAAGTAAAGAAATTCTTATCAGTGCTTTGTTAGGAACTGCATTTTTCGGAACCTCTAACCTGAAATCAATAAGCTATTTATTATTCTTTCTTACCTTCTTTCTATTTAAGGAATAAAGAATCTAATTCAAACTTGTAGTCCTATTGAACTAATTTGACGTTATTTGCAATTATGAAAAATAATATTTCTGGAATATTTAAATACATTCCAAGAGATATATTCCAGTGTTTTGTCAATTTTACTCTCAAACCAATTTGCCTTTCATGAGTCTGATAAATCAAATCAGTTTTTGTTTGGTCTTGTACAGCGTCCATATATTTCTTTGCTGAATGCTATGTTCATTCAAAATTAAATTTGTTGTATTCTCTAAATGCTACCAAATTGGCATGGTAGCACTTGGTTTTGATAAATGAGAATTAAGTTCGACGTTTTAAGTGCAAGTGAAAATGATTGAACTTCTTAATGCTCAACAGTCATGTGATATATAGTGACAGTGATTTCGTATGCATACACTGATAGTAAAATAATAAATTCCATTGAATTCATACTTTTAAGGTCATTTTAAAACATGAAATACTGCTTGGACTGAGGTACCGTATTCTATTTTTTCAGATGGGGACGATTTTTATGGGGAAAGGCCTTATGGTCAGAATATTGAAAGCAATGTTCTTTTTTTTATAAGTCACCACAGTTCAACAAGCAGCGTCATTTGTGATTATCCATTATTTCAGTATTTGAAACAAGATGTCAAGGTCTAGCTTTGGTTTTGTGGCTTTTCGAAATAGAATATCGTAACAATATTTTTGATAATACCAGACTGAATGAGACTCATGTTATGACTTCGGGTCAGGAACCAAAGTTTGAAGAACCCTGATTTAACCAAATAAGAAGGATACCCGAATAGGTAAGCAGATAAAGAAGCTATTTTAAAAAAAAAAATTCGCTTGATGATTTGTTCCAAGAGAAATGTATTGATACGTTTACATACTTGCATCCTGAGCATGAGATTTCACCACCATCAGATGTAAAAACCTTGATACTATATCCATCCAACTTGAGTTGTTTCCCCTTTTTGCAACAATGGTTCACGTTTGCTTGGCATAGGTATGGTCAAACCTTGACTGGTAAGAGATGTTTTTGGTGGATTGGTTCTTGTGTAATATCTGTATTCTGTTTAACACCAGCACTTCTGTTTTGAGTTCTGGCATGTTATCAAGCGAAACTTAACTTGATACCCAGCATCAGGATTTGTATAGTTGAATTGTGAGTCTGAAGGTAGTAAAGTAACATCTCTTTACTTTCTAGAAGTTGCTGATGTTTTTGGTATTACAGGTCTGAATGGATTAGATTTGGTAAAATCGTACATAAAATGCATAGATTATAGTTTGTATTAATAGTGAAGAACTCGATTACCTTAGGGTATGAGAATATTATTTAATCTAAAGTCAAAGTGATGTTTAATTTGACTCACTTATCATCTCCTCTCATTTGAATCTGTACTTTACTTTTTCCTCTTGGTGTATCGTAGTTGAATTCATGCAAATCAAGTTTTGGAATTTCTTCGGTTTTCAGCTGTGGATTCTCTCTATATATAATGCATCATTTGTATGACCTATTGTAGCTGGGTTTCCAGTACGTATATTCCATATAAGTTTCAATTTGTATGAGGTGAAAATCATGGAATTGGGTTTTCTAGTCATTTCAGTAAGATTATAAATTTATATTTATCATACCTTTTTATGTGTGTCCAATAATAGAGCTTCACTACGAATAAAAGTTGGGTTCAACATCATTAATCCTTCCATCAACAATTGCAGGAGCATTTGTTGCTGTCAGTAGAGTTCCATCGGATGTTTCCGCATTCTACACCAGCATAATACTAATATTATACACATTGTTCATTTGAGCATTTTCTGGAATTGTTTGACTAACGAAAATAGGATTGTTGCTTTGAAAACGATTTTGTGTGTTAGCGCTGTTGTTTGGACTACGTACCCCGAGGTCGCTAACTGTTAATTGTTTGTCTTTATACATTGCCAGTCGTCCTGAAACACATGATTCTTCTCTTAAAGATGTAGGCTCCCTGTGTGGACTTAGTTTGTAGTTTAGGTACATGCGAGGTGATATTCCGACTATCAGTGGATTTCCCCTTCATACCATTAATGCCTTGCTGGATGAAGGTCTGAGAGCGAGAGATTAATTATTATAATCAGTAGTGTTTAGATTTTAAAAAGTTGGGAACATTTTACTGGAATTTCTCCGTTTGACCACAACAGCTGTCAAGGTCAGCTAATTATAACTTGCTATTGCATTCTCAATGTTAAGGATAGGAGAGGCGCACCACAGCTTTCGTCCGGTTACCAGTCCATGTTCAGTCTGGTATGGGAATAGTCAGCCGGTTATTTGTTTTTAGATGCATGGACTTACTTGTTAGTGGAGGAAACCGACAAGCTGTTACACAAACTACCCTATGCCGGTTGAGGAGTTCAGCAATCCTCATGCACATAATTTCCCCCACACGATGGTAACCCATGGGGGGTAATCGGAGATACGATGGCAAGCTTATTTTTAAGGCTTAGCTCAATGCGCCCTACCGCCGAGCCAATGAGGTTATTATTCTATAAATATCTGAATTTCCTCATATTTCACGATAAAGATAGCAAGTATCCAGATAATTCAGAATAAAATTTGATAGCCAGTTGTTCAGAAGAGTCAAAATTGGGTACTCCTGAAGTATGCGCACCGAGATGTCGCCTAACCTGAACCCTAACCTGGTACACAACCTGAGTTCAGGTTGTGTGCCATCTTGGCGTGCATACTTCAGGAGGTCCCAAAATTTTATGTACAACTTTCAAGGAAATATCTTCGAGAGTCAGCTTGTCAGTCAGCCAACAATTGAACCATGATTCTTATGTGTTTTTATCTCATTTGAATTGAGTAGTATAAACTTGTATTCCATTCAAAACTTTTGTGTTCTGAAAACTTACCTTTGATTTAAAACATCCCGTACTCTGGGATCACCTTCTATGACCAACTCTTCCAGTTTATTAAATAATGCTAAAACATCTTTCATTTCTTCAGTATTATAATTTTCTTCATGTCTTTGTTTTAGTGGACTTTTAGCTTCCTTTGTCGGTTTTTGTTGCTTCACTGCTTCTTCTGCAACATCTTTAATGTCTTGTTTAGCAGACGTTGTTCTTCGTCCTTTCACTCTGTCTTGTAATCTCTTCCACATTATATTCATGAAATAGTCTTATAAAATTTGAACAGATATTTGAAAGTAGGCTTATGTATTTTTATCTCATTAATTTATATCTTAGCCAAAACTATTTGAAAAATTTCTTAATTGTGCTGTTTGAACACCCCTGGCTAAGACAAGAAAGTTTCTATCAAGATCAAAATCAAACGATATTCCTTAGTGGAATCATCTTTCAAATTTTACCAGCTTACCTGTTATTAGTAATTTGCATTATTATTCAAAATGGAATGCATTTTAAGAAGTATCATTTTTTTTTTGCATTTTGCTAGCTGAAATTGTCCTATTGTATGTTATGCTCATTAAAAGTGTCTATTTCTCCTGAATCTCAAAAAGTAAAAGGGTAACATCACTGGTTGCCCTTTTGTGAGCTCTCGATAATTTATATTTAGACAATATTCTTAGCATTATCGAAAGCATCTCTTGGTTTTATGCTTTTGTTTTACTTTGAACATGTACAGCGTGTTCATTGTATATCAATGATATACAATAGACCTTGATCCATATAATTTTAGTCTTGATTCTTGGATTTGACTTTCTCATTTTAAAGTGATATTTTATTTCTGCCATAGTTTTAGTTCTATTAGTCTATTTGTTTTAAAATTAATATTTACATGTTCTAATATTGTTTTATACATAAGAGACGAATAGCCTTATTATTCTGAAACCTACTCTACCAAAAACTATCTGTTAATATGAAATATAGCTACCAATCTTGCCATATCAACAGGTGTTTCCTATATTTGTTTATCAAGTTGCTATGAGGATGAGAAGTCTTTCAACAGTTCTATTCAATAATGACAAAATCAATATGGTAATGCATATTTACCATTTATCAACACTCCCCTCACTGATTGTTACTGGTCCATTGTTATTATCCACAATAAACCTCATACCTATTGTTAGTTTCTTAGATAAATATTCCATACTGTTACATTGAATCGAGTTATTCATCATATTGGGTGTATCAAATTTTAAATGAACATAATATTTTATTCTAATCATTGAATATTTCTTTTGATAAAACTTGTCAAATCACTAGTTTTTTTTTCTTCGAGAAGTGGAGTCATATAGCAACGATTTATTTCTCTTGTATATATCTTTCATCTTAGATCGCAGAGGACTTTGAATGGATAAATGCAAATATATGTCCAACTCAAATGCTTACCAATATGAAAAACTTGTAAAAACGATAAAAAGACAGATTGACCTGAATGTACTCATTCTAGGAGCAAGTAGGGCAAATTAATAAATGTTCCAAGATGATTAGTTTGATATTTGTTGAATTAGAAAACTCATCATGTTATTTATTTGAACTTTATCACTAATTAAGTTTACCAAATTAACAATTTTCTCTTCTCCCTGATTGTCATAAATTAAAATATCACTATGATTTTAAATTGAATAATTTATTTTTCTTTCCTTGAAATTTGAAAATTACCTATTTTTACAGAACATGTTATTTTTACAAAACAACTTGTGCCACTAATCGAATGTATTTTTTTTAGAATACCACAGAATATTTTCATGTTCGAGATTTTGTGCCATCTGCACTAGTAGATGATATTGGTCTTTCTCATTTGTCTTTCACTCTACCTCAATTACATGCAAGATTGAAAGGAACCTTGCCTTCTTCTGCCCGAGAACTTTTTTTTCGTAAAGCTAAAGAATTGCAGGATTTTGGAATGTCATTTTTCCCGTGTTTATATGGTATGCATTTTCAATAAAAATTTTGAATACTTGGAAAATATATCTATGGTCAAATTCTTTTTAGTTGCTTTTACATATATATATATACAATTTTTATGGTAATAGTTTATAGAACAGATAAGATAAATAATTACTTCTAACTCCGCCATGGTACAAAATAATTACAATACAAAAGACAAATACACAGGGCTGAAAATCAGGAAAGTTGCCAAAACAAATAAGGTTTAAAACATTGAACATAAGTACTACATGTGCAATCTCACTTTGTGACATAGAACATATTGAAAAGCATGATATGATACTTTGTAATTGGGCTTTAAAAAGCTTGGGAGAAATGTCATAATACATGCCGTTGACATACAAATACAAATGATACAGTAATAGATGTGGGCAGGTACCTCTCAAAAATCATAAATTAAATTGATATAGTGTAAAATGTCTGTAGTTTTAAATCCTCACGCTCATATTGCTATTTTTCAATTCATTTTAATATTTTTTACTCTCAGAGCCATAGGGATCAGCCACCTGTATGGATCTCAATTGGACCAAGAGGGTTGAATATTTTTTATTTGTTTATCTTGTGGTGTCAGAAAACTAATTCATAGATATTCTTGGGAACAACTAAGTAAGGTTGCTTTTAAGGTAACATATTGGTTAAATCTTTCTCATCGAAAACTAATAAATAGTAATGAAAGTTTTTATCAAACTGTTTGAGAAATTGAATTGAAATTATTTTCAAGGAGTATCCTCATCTTGTTTCTTCCAATTTTCTGTTGAGTTGGAAAATTTGGATAATGCACTTGTTGAATTTTTTCTTAAAAATTTACGTACTTGATTTCACTACTTGTTAACATGGTGGATACATATTTTTCTTGATATAAAATGCTTCTAGAGTTATATTATGTGATCACTCTTTAATATCTGCACCATTCGCTTTCAAATTACAGTAGTTATTTAGAAGAGTGTCTTTCAAAACGGCTTTTATGTTTACTTGCTTCGTGCTTCGGGTCTTGTTGACTTATCCCAAATTATACTGAATCTAAAAATTATCACCACCGCTTGATGATTTCAGCAAGCATTTGGGAAATGATCGTCATGTTGAATTAAATCTTAGCAGTCTACATGTACAGTCACATTATATATTTTAAAGGTGTATTTCAGGACTTTATTTACATAGAAATGAAATGCACAACTTACTAGTGAAAAGTGTTGCAAATTTTTTGACTTACGATACCATTGTTCAGCCATAGTTTTAAATCATTATTCAGTCACCAAATTATAGTAAAACACACTGATTTATTTTGTATTATATTTGTGTAACCGAATTCTCCCTCATTACCCATGTTTTATGAATTTAGAAGAAAACCATTTCACTGACAACCAAGAGTGGCACAAGATTCAAGTCTATGTGAAGACAGAACAAAAGTAATATAAGTTTCATTACAGCTAAAAATAATTTAGTTAACGCCTAACGGTATTTCTTATCTGCATTGCTAATCCAGAAATTTCCAACCAAGTTCACCTAGAGAATCTATTTCCTATTTGCTAGATCCTGAACCACACATTTGGCCGTGTCAAATTAATTAATGCATTTTACCTGCATTATGCAATTACCTGCATTTTTGTATTCTGTCACACTAATCTGATTAGATACACTTTCAGTGAGACTCTATTTTTCGTGATACTTTCAGCTCACATAGTTGATCAAACTGTCTTGTTTGCTATCCTAAGATTTTAAACAATATTTTCCATTATTTTATTCAACCAGTTTAAAATCACTATTTATATGCCAGAAGCAGATGATTGGTAAAATGTGGAATTTTTTTTGTTTTTGTTTCTTAGAGCGAATTACATTGTTCGGATCATGGGGAAATGCATCAGTTCCATATGTTTGATGATTCATGAATAATGACAAGTTCAACAGTATTGCATCGCCAAGCACTCAAACTATCATCTGTTATTTTACCTTCAAGCATCATCCTATTCCACATCCATGTGAGATGAGATGTAAATCAGAGAGCTGCCATATTTCTGAACAGATGGTGGATGGAATCATACAATAAGCTCGTCTCATTCCCACTTGCAAGTATTTCCTGATATAATACCTTTCGTATTGGAAGACAATAACTCTGATATATCTAGAGATTACACTACAAAATCAAAGTGTCAACAAGTCGTGAATGATGACAAACAACCAATATATCATGAACCAGAAATCGAAGAAGTTGCAGCTGAAGGTATAATTTGCTGAACGGAATATGTTGTTGCTGGAAATGTAATATTTTTATTATCAATCAGAGCAATGGCATTGTGAAAAAATTTTAATAAAAATTGTAATTTTTTCAGCTGTATATATTGTTTATCATTGTGGTTTGTCAAGGTTTTTATGCACGATATGTTAATATTAAACTAACAAATAATAAAGATAATGATTGGCAATTTCTTCACTCTAATAAGTCTGTCATAAAATATACCAACAAGTTTTCAAATCTGTAAGATATAAAAACATTTTAATTTCAGTTAAAGTGGGTATAATTTGCTCTGAAGCAGATTTTTGTGAGGATATATGGATGTGTCATTCAGATTAGGTTATTTCTGTTTTCACATTAATTGGGTACTACCAAAAAACTATTTTGATAAATGTTAACTAATTCTTTTTAGAATTTATTTCTGACAATGAATTTGAAAATATCAAGAAAGAGGAGGATGATGACGTGTTTGATGTTAGTGATCTACCTGTTCCAATAATAAATGATATTTCTGCTGATTTCTTTGTTGATTTGGAAAAAAGGAAGGGAACATTTGGCTTTAGTGTTATGGTATCCTGTTTTTTCTTATCATTTTTTATTTGTGCTTCAGTCTCTTACATTTTATACAATCTCTCAAAATAGCTTAGTTAAATACATTCATTATTAAGTAATTAAATGAATAGATGACATAGTTACTTGATAATATGAATAGAAATAAAATTGCTTGCACATGATAGCATAATGCATATATTTGCGTAATGGAGTTTGCTGCTGTTCTTCAACCTTAATTTATAGAATAGAAATTATAGAATACAGTTTATAGAAGGGCAGTTTTGCCCATTGAATAAAATCGAGAAACAAGACTGAAAATTACAACCTATGTTTTTTCTCAACATGCTTAGTGGAGGTTCAATTTCAAGAAATAATGAGGTTACAACTAAATTTCTTCCTGTATCACTTTCTTTTTTCTCAATATTAAATGTACTGGTAAGTATATCATGAAATCAACAAGAAATATCTATTCACTGATAATGTAAATTTCATTTATCTGTGTTAGGGTGGATCTGACAAGTCCATAAATGTTATTAAAGTTCAACACATAGTGCCTGGTGGATCTGCAGAAATGAATGGAAGTTTACAAGCCGGTGATGTTATATTAGCAATCAATGATATTCAGCTGAGTAATGTCTCACATAAGGTGCGAGTTTGACCTATTTTCAAAAGTTTTTTTTTCGATTTTATTGTTAATTGGTTATTTACATTGGCTTGGCAGGTATGACTTGTAACACACAGCCTAACTCAAAGTGCTATAGATTTTACTGTCAAAATTAGTAAGATTCTAATCTTTTCTGAACACACTATTGTAATCTAGTATTCTAGTTCAACATTAATATACCTTTGTAACAAAATTTTTTAGGTATACTATCACACATTATTTGTACCTTATAGGAAGCCGTTGAAATATTGAGTAAAGCATCAAACAAATCAAGGCTTCATGTCAGAAGAGACCAAATGTTGAGATTGGAGAGCAACCCAGTGGTCCCAGATGAGGTTTTTTTTTTATCCATAGCACCTAATGTTTCTTATCAATATGTGGGATAAATTCAACTGGTACAGAATGATATTTCGGTTGTTTCAAACACTTTCGCTTAATTCCAGCCCTCATAAAACGTTTGTAACGAAATTGTTGCTGCTGTTATCTTATATGAATCGACTTCTATCTGTTGACTAATCCGTTAGTTGTTGTCAACTAGTTAACACTTTAGTTATATATTAGACTCCTAGAATCTAGACTCCGATAAAAAACAATATATTAATCAGAAGTTATGCGTGTTCAATGGGGAAATCCTTTTCACAACCTTTCAAGATTTTATTGCTCCGTTTAAATAAACATACGATAAACTCAGCAATCAAAGTGTAGAAAGTATAAGATACGACAAAGTATAGAATGATACCTTAATTGAAATTGTTTCGTGTGCTTTCCCCTCCTCCTATCTTCTATTTTTTTTGGCTTAGGTTATTCTATTTAAAGGTGTTTGAGAGATTTTTCTATTTAGTGGATAAATTCTCTATCTTTATTCCTTACTATTTCGTGGAGAAGGTACTTTTGCGACCAATCAGGGACTAGTTCATTTCGTTTTCGATAGGAGAAATTTTGGGTGATTCTTATCGGGTGATTGACAGCGTTTTGTGTGAAATGTTAAAATACCGTCTGCTCAGTGGTGGTAATTCAAATCCAACGAAGTCAAATTGTTGCTTCGTTGACTATTTTGACCACTGGTTTTCATCACAGCAACTACAAGAAGTTCAAAATGGAAATTGTGCAGTGAATGAAATCACTGAAACAGGGAATGCGGGTTTTAATACACAATCTGAGAGAATAGTGGGAAGAAACGTTGATGATGATATCAATGAACTGACTTCTCTAAGGCTTGATACAACTTATGATGAACGGGTGCGTCATTCCACATAATTTGGGCCAGCATGCATGTTCCACTTGATCATAGCATAAACAAAAACCGCACTGCCTATAGTGTATCATCTGTAGATGTGACTATTGTCTTCACATATCAGATCTGTAGATTGCTCACAAACAAATATAAGAGATAAATCATTGTAGTTGTTTCACTAACATTTACACACAATTCAATTTATCAGGTTACTGAAGTGGCCTCTGCATTTTATAATTATCAATATACTGATATTGAATCTGATATACAACATGAATATATTGGAAATGGTGCAGAAGACTTGACAATGAAGGGTGAACTTTAATTCTGTTTTTTATTGAATATCTAATCTGTGAGCTAACTATAATTCATGACATAACAAATAGTGAGTTGACTCTCACAGTCGTTACTTGTGTACAGATGATCAAATATTTGAATACATTCTAAATTGGTTATGATGCGAATAATTAAGAATATTTTCATTTTAAAATATTTCTTCAAGCATTTATTATTCTATGATAGACAAAAAAATACTTAACTTCTGACACAATAAAAATAGAAAATATTATTTAAAACAATGTTCATTTCAATTAATCTGCATAACAAATTTGATTTCCACGAATTTACATTTGTTTTGAAGAATTTCTCTCGTGGAACAAGAGCCATTTCAGAATATATTCGATATTTCATATTCGAAAAGATTATATTTTAGAATATATTCAAAATATGGAATATCACTGTTTCTAAACAGATTTGGAATATTTACCGTATTTACATATCAGAATTTTAAATTGGCTTTAGGAATCATGTAAAGAAATGAAAAGCACAGCAATGAAAGTTTTATAAAACACAAACAAAATCATTTTCTCCATAAATCATTTCTAGTATTGGTGAAGTATATCGATGGTTTTCATATTTACTATGGTTGGAACGGAAACCTTGAGTGACGAGAATTTTACTGCGGATCTGTGTGCAATTATATCTTTGAAACAAATATTCCCCAAATCTTATTTCGGAAAGAAGAGGAGATAAGCCTAATAGTGACTGATATAGATGAAGTATTCACGCATGGCGTGTTATGCTCATTTAAAAATATCGAATTATTGGTGATGGTCATACCAACCAATGAGAAGTTCATGTGTTTCTAGAGAAGCACTCCAAACATTAAAAGTCATTGATATCCGTCTGGTAATAAATCTATTTATCAGCGAAGGCAACCATTACCTTGCATGTAAATGATCGAAGATTATAAATTTGTTAATTTTCTCTCCAGATGAATTACATTTGAATTTATTGCATCATGAAGAGGATATGAGTAGGGGTGAAGGTGATGGTGTCAGCAATTTATCAACCCATGATCGTCAAAATACTACAGGAAGTTTATCACAAAGTGGAAGGTATATAAGTATATCTTTTTTATATCCTCAACTTATTGTTTAACAGTACCAATAATCGTCTGTTTTTATGAAGCCCAATGTAAAAGTTCATTCATGATGTATATTTTACTTTCTGGCCATGCTGGGTGTAAACTCTTTTCTGAGTTTGATCATCTAGATTAGATTTGAAAATATGGTTTCTTATTATTACGTTCGTCATTCTTAAGTTTTCTCTTTTAGGAGAACTTAGCATAATAATATAGATATAGTAAAAAGAATCCTCATTTATATATAAATATTATTATACAGATTTTCTGACATTTCTTCACATGTTTCGAGGGATGTGATACCGGAAGGTTAGTGTAGTCATTGATAAATATGAAATAGCGAATTTCATGTCAAGAATTAAGAATGAAACTGTTCATACTCTCATCAAACTCTTCCCTCTGGCAAAGAGATAGAGATTTATTCCGACTATTAAAACTTTATTTATGTTGACATTATTTTATTTTGCAATACCCAACATGATAGATTTTATTTTCTGGTATAGCCATTGTCTTTATCTATGATAAGTTGCTCTTATTCTTATTAGCTTATCCTTTTCTATACCAACAGATTGCGAATTTAATTTATTCTGGTTAAAATTTTGTTCTTTATGTTCATATAACTTCATAAACACTTTTATGTAACAGTTAATTTTCTACGTATTTTTGTCTTTTCATTTTTGAATGTCTCATTTTAGCAACGACAGTGGCTATTGCAGATTTCGAAGATTTCAGGAGACGTTTATCAAGTTTAAAAACTGCAAATGAATCGAGGTATCTTCGCTTAGTTTTTTTACATCAAGCGTTTCTTGGTTTTGAACTTCTGTCAAGATATTTGCAAGCAATTAATATTTGATTTTTGCTGCAATTCAGGCAACCATACAAGTTATATATTGTATACAAACAAGTAGATGGTGTCCTTTTAGCACTACCATATACATAAAGGCTTGATTATTCACCCCTTCACTTTAGATTTGCTCCTGAAATTGGTATAAATCTATTTGTTGACACAAAGGTGATGTAAAATATAAAAAGCAATGCAAACTAAATATAATATTCACTTAATTATAGTAAATCATTTTAATAAATGATGTGTGCATGGATGAAAAATAAGTCAAGTCAACAATGTTGGAAAATTGACAAAATCATGCACAATTAATCAGAGGCCAAGTGCATAACTAGTGTTTCTATTGCTGCATGTTATGTCAACCCGGGAGATTTTTATCCCTGATGAAAAAAAGCAGTTTAGATGGCTTAATGATACAGTTAAAAATATGGCCTGTTGGAGGCTACGAAGTAGGGTGTGGAAGTAACAAAGTAATTGTTCGAGATGTATTAAAGTAGGTTGTTGATAAGGCCATCACTGGCTGAGAATAACATTAACCACCCTTCGAACGAAAGGAATCCAGAAATTTTTGTCAATACCTTAATCATAGTCTACAGAATTTTAAGCATACGAATCAGCACATGGTAATCAGAGGTGCAATTAGCATGCGAACCCTCAACACTTGGCGCAGTGCATCAACTGGCGTGTCAGTTATTGCAGTCATTACCTAAGAATGCGTGAACTGTTTTTACCTGTACCCACTGTTCTATCTAGAGACTCAGTGTATCAAGTATCCATGTCTGGCATTACACTTTTAAGCTGATTTTATTTAATTTTTAGCAATAATTCTGGAGACAACGAATCATGGTCTACTGTTCATGAGTGAAGATAAAGTTGCTGGATGTGTAGCAATATTAACAGTTTACATTTTCTTACATTTTTGGAAATCTGATTCATTTTTTTACTGGCATATAAGTAGTTGAAGGTGACACCAGGGATTAGTATCATCAAGCCTACATGGTTGTCACATACTAGTCCGGGAAGATATCTTGGCATGTCTGCCCCAGTTGAGGTTCTCTGACTGACTTTGTTTTAAGAAAATGGCGATTGTATTTGAATTTGTTTTCAAATTTTTCTTATTGGAAGATTAAAAAAGTGAATAAATTAGAGAAAGCTTTTCTTTATTTTGTGCAGCCTTTCGCAGGTGTTCGCATCTATTCCCTGAGTATTTTCCTGGAAACCGGCCATGTCCAGCATTCATACTCGTCTCTTTGTTAAACAGAAAGTATACAGGAATTCGAAACTTGACCTCAAACTATTTTGTAATTCTTGACTATGGCTCGCCTAATTTAATTCGGCAAAATTTTGTTTTAGCAGGTACCTGTCCATTTTCTTGTTCAATTTATTATTTTTTGTATTGAATTATATGTATATTGTTTCAAAGCAGTTGTTCGTAACCTTTATGAACCTGACAAACCCCTACGTTATTCTGCAAGCTATCGTCGAACCCCAACGTTTTGAACATCTAAAACAAGGGGCACAACATGTACTTTATATGGGGGAGATAGTTTTGTGCAAGTATATACAAAATGCAACGGTCTTCATTTGATAGAGAGTGAATTTGTTCCGTTATTGTTGAGCTTATTGGTTGAGTTTTCAGGTTTAAATTTCAAGGGACACCATTATAAAAGGAATATCAGCCACCGATCAGTCCGAATCACCAGTCATCAGACACGCCGCCTCTTTCTTGATTGAAATATTTCATAAGCAAAAAACTTAGATATCAATACACTGACGGAATACCTACTGTGTACCACAATAGCTTAGGGCATAGGTTCTCGAAGTGCTCCGTACGGAGCCCCAGGGCTCCGCGAGAGAAACCCAGGGGCTCCGCGAGCTATTCGATTACTTTTCAAAATACTGACCAATTTTGTAATTGTTCAAAGAAGCAATAACAGCTTTGATAAAATCTAACAACAATATAGCCTCGAAATATGGCAAAGAGACGGAGTTAAAAAATGACATTATCTGTAAGCAGGAGCGCAGCCAGGATTCTTAAGAGGGAGGTGGTTCAATTTCCGCGCAACATTCGCGATTAAAAAACGGATGACGAGATTTCTGTTACGTAAAATATTCAATCCATGACCGATGCGAGCATTTAAAGTGTCTCGTCGTTATAATGTACTTGTGCTCATCTTTACTCACCTTTGATTCGAGATTACTAAAATGAAAGAATACTATTCTAATAACATAAAATATGTGATAAACTGCCAACTGTAAATAAATTGGAGTCGTATATTTGCGATCTTGGGATTTGTCAAACTTGATTTGTTCTTCCGCACTTAAGATTATTATTAAGCAAGATATCGCCGTTCAAAAAATCACAATGTCTGGACAAAATACGAACAATTGAAATTTATTTTATTGCATTCGGCTCCGTCGGTAGTTTCAGAATGAAAAAAGGTACATCACGGATCGCGCGCACAATTGATTGCGTGCGGCTCCGTCGGCAGTTTCAAAATGGGTAAAAAAGGTACATCGCACGCACAATTGACGATTTCGCAGTTACTACGATGAAAATTTAACATAACAGCAAATTTTGTGATTTACTATGTCTATAAAAGCGTTTTCAATCTGAGGTGAGTCTGCTGAAACCAAACATGTGATCTTCCATTTTAAGTTTTAATATTTTGGAATGCCGCTTTTCAATCAAGAAATTTGAGTTGCGGATCTACCTCTTCATTAATTATTATTTTCAGCAGTTCGTTGCCGATGACTATAAAATGGTAACATATTTTTCACATTGAACTCATAATTCCCCACGAGAACAAAAAGGCAATTAACGTCGTCCGTCATTGTGTAACAATACATGTATATATATGCCGAGGGAAATTTTTTTTTAGGGAGAATAAACACCGGCGTAAAGATTGTAGGTTCAAATACACGCCGCCATGCTGAGGAAAAAATCGGCGATTGTAACAAAATGCAATCGCGCACATTATTAGCGGCCTTTTAAGTCTTTCAAAAGATTCGAACCCGAATTTATTAGTATGTTTGTCAAGTGTCAAATTTACAGCTTTAGTATATATAATTTATGTTTGAAATTTAGATATATTTATGACTTGTATTAACTCTATTAAAAAAGGTTCAGCATTTAAATTGAGTAAAGTACTTTTAACTTGCTCAAGAATATTAATCTGAAAGTAACAATTTTAACATTTATTTTGGGGCTCCGTGAATAATAGTCCACAATTTCAAGGGCTCCGCGACACCAAAAGTTTGAGAACCCCTGGCTTAGGGCACAGCTGACCTAGAAGAAAGATGACCATAACAGTGCTTCGTGCCCGTGGTACCCCAAGAGGGCTATAGAACATTTAGGGCCACAAATAAGCACAAGTTCTTCGTTGTTTCATTATCTGAAAAGGATACTTCCAGTCATAGGGTGGTTCGCTTTTTTGTGCACAAATTTGTCAACCTCATAAATACCTCTGCTGTACATTTTCTTCAAAACTAGATAGTTCATGTCCAATTTATCTGCTGTGCCGTTTACTCTTACTTTAGAGTCTGAAGAATATCTCTTATGTATTGATATGCACCAAAAAATGTAGAAAATAATTGAAGTATAGTATTGCTGAATATAATAATGAGTCCAGAATCGGTTTTCGGTCTGAATACATCAATCGTGATTTTATTGCAAGAGCGTCTGGATATTTAATGTCATTCAACGAATGCGCATTCTGTCACTGACATCGGTAATTAGTGACCATCGCTGAATTTATAACATTTCTGGTCGTGTTGAGTACACTCTCTGATTTTACACCCGTATCACGTCGTCCGGAGCTGGTAGCTCCTGATCGTAGTTGATACTATTTTTCTTCATGATGTATATCTCAAAGTAGAAGTTGAACACTGGAAGTTTTGTCACATAAATGGACATTTAATAACGGAATCGGTTTTACTTTTATACATCCGCATTCACAGCATGCAAAGCAATTTTGGCAGTTCACGAGAGCTCTATAAATTGTGCCTGTTGAGTTTGGGAAACCCTGGTCTAAAGTAAACGGACTTTACTAATGGAATGGCTAGAATATCAGACGTAAAAGGTTCTAATTACTGACACCTACGTCTCGTGCAGTGATTTCCCTACACCCCCTAATCCTTATCTAAAGTCATAATTCGAGAAAACCATTCGTCGCGTGAGTGCAAGCTTCGATGCAATGATCGTTTCCGTCCACATCGAGGAATACCTCGTTTTTATTTCAGCAACAATAGCGCAGATGCCCCGAGGCCTGGTAACTACAAAAGTTACCATCAATGTTAAAAATGTCGAGGCAGAGACGAAGAGACGTTGTCAGAAAACAAGCACAAACACAATGTAATTGAGAAGTTTTAAATATGAAGCTTTGCAGCCGATTAGCTTATATATAAGATGAACGAAAATGAAAACTAAGATATTATGCTGCGCAAAATGTACACGGAATGAATTGCAGACCTCATAGGAGGTAACGGATAGGCAAGTCGCAATGTCTTTAAGCCATTTACGGCATATCTCCATTACCGACTACAGTAAAAATGTGGATTATTGTAAGTCTTAAAATCCAAAACTAGCAAATTCATGGCACATTGATCTATTGCAATAATTTTACTTGGGGCAAGCACAAGCCTTGAGGAGCAATTTATCAATAGTTGTCGTATTGGAATAGTCATTTGTTCATTCTTTAGCAATTCTACAAAAGTATGTATGCATATATATATATATATATATATGATACGCGTAAAATTAAATTTGATATGTATAAGAGAAATCGAGTCCAATTATTTGGCTGCTGTTCGACGTTACTGATTTGGAGGAAGTTTTAGTAATATTTGATTATATATTCATTGGACTTAATTCGTTAGTATGCTGATGCAATTCAGCGTAGATTATTGGACACGAAATGTACGGTTCCATTACATTTGAACCCACGTACATCTGAACCCACGACAATTGCACCTGCATACTATTGCACCTATGGGAATTTTGTTTGTTTTACAGATATTTGAACCCATACTAACCCATGGGTTTTAGCACCCGCATATATATAGATTGAACCCGCGGATATACACATGGGTTCAAATGTACGTGGGTTCAAATGTGCGGGGGTTCAAATGTACGGTCACCGAAATGTACATATATATGGATCGTTTTGTGTTTATTGGACACGAAATGTACGTATAAATCGCTTTGCTATTATGTTGTTGTTAGAATTATTTTTCATGTTCTTGTTGTTATAGAAAAATCGCCTTCCTTATTCACTACAGGGCCAGTTGCTTTGAAATTTTCAGTGGTTATAAAGATCGTTTCGCTAGAAGACTATTACTTTTATGAAATAACAATTGCAGTTGTGCCTCGTTTTCGTAGTTTTACGTGTTATTTGTCAGTTTTTAGTTCTGTTCCCAAAAAAAAGTTTTATGACTGAATTGTCATTATGCCTTCCGAGAAGTTTTAGTTTGGTTGCAGTAATCAATATTCAGTCTCGCGATGGATGTGATTGACTAGGCTAAAATTAGCGGAAGGCGGACAACTCAGACTGTAGGGAAGACTAGTGAGTTGTCCGTCATTTCGCATTTTTTACGGCGACGTTTTAAGACTAGGAGTGTAATTGCGATCTTTTCAGGACTCCAATGGCAAGAAATAAACATAAATAGGGTTGGATTTTATTAAAAATGATGCATTCAAACATGTAAACCAGTTTATAATTACCAACACTTCAAAATAATCTCACATAAAATAAAAAAATTTCAATAGTGAAATATATGCAAGGAGAATTTTCTGAGATACATATATCGTAAGGTTCAGTTGAAACATGTACGTTTACCACACACTAAAGCAACACCATAATATAACGTATATATATATTAAAATGTGAAATATTGCCTAATATTTCTCTCTTTTTTTGATGTTTTCAAACTTTTTTATGTAAATGTCAGCTTGGCTGTATTGTGTCGGATGTACATTTTAGTTATGCAATTCATTAATCCATTTTATTTTAAAACCCTTCATCATGCTTAGGTGGAAATTGTCATGATGGCAACTGAAACTACAACTTTTAATAAGAAAAGACATTTGTGTGGCCCACTAAATCAACTGATGGCTCTAAATCAGCATATTGTAAACTGTGCAAATTGACTATTGTGCCAAGGGTTTCAAATCATGTGGCTTTTGTACTTGGTAAAATTGGTGACCTTTTCTGGAATTGTTAACTTTTTTCGATCACTGGAAACCTGGCATTGTTGACGGTAACCTAGTACAGGTACTGGCGAGTTGCCGTATATAATTTTCGTGAACTTGATGGTAAAATATTTCGTTTTGATCTTCATGTCCAAAAATTTGATCGTCAAAGCATTTATATACATACGTAATTGAAAATAAAGTCAACATTTCAACCACAAGCAAGTTACCGATCCCTTTATAGCGCGGAAAGAGTACTGATGGAAAGGTTGTGGGTGGAGACACAAGCGAGGACATGGTCGGAAGCTGGTTTATTATGCAGAATTCCGAACAGATCAAACCCCGTCGTGGTAGCACCCCTCAATAGTGAATTTATCATTTAAGGGCGTTTCATTTAGTTGTAAAGGATTAGTATGTATTCAAGCGATAAATGCCTACGAGCACGACGAAGGGAATGACTTTCATTGTATTTGTAGTCAGCAATTTATACAAATATATTGGGGTGTGTTCAAGTAATTTGAGATCGTATAATTTTGGTAGTGCATACACAAAATGATTGCATTATGTCATATTATAATACAGTATATATAATAACATGATCTATCTGCATGTTGCCCTGTAGTTGTGTTGATGCCTCCATTTTTAAAGTAGAAATTGATATTTTAGAAGGCATGCAGTCAGTCATTTCCGAATAGCCATTCACGATAGGTCAATAACTCCTATTCATATGGAAATAAACTTCCTCGGTCCGGAAATAAAACCCACTTTATCCTGGCGTTCCACAAGTGCTAACAACTTTTCTATACATTCACGTCATGAATAGTAATACTGTTGACTAGGTATTTACCTAATAATGATTATGTTGTCAACATTTTGAATATTTTTGAAGCACGTCTGGTATCAAAAATTATTATAATGCATGCCAGTTATTTTTTACCTAATTTTCTTGAAATAATGAAACACAATTCAGTTTCGTTGCTCAATATACTAATTGCAATGAGCACTATTGGAGTAGAACAAATATTTTCCAAAGTCATCTTTCTCTGCCCATGTGGAAACTTGGGTAAGATATGTATATATAAGATATGATCTAGTTGTAAGTTTATGTAACGTATACTTATGAAATTGAAGCGTGCTCTATCATAATAACTCTAACTCTATTCATAATAAAAGTAGAAACATAGAAAGTTAATATATATTATTTCTTTTTGCTTGTTGGATGAAATTCCGGTTAAACATGTAACACAATATGCCACTTCATTATCTTCTACAACATTTTTAGATAATCGAATATATGGATTGGTGTATCTTGTTGTGCCGGCTGTTGTTTTATTAATTCTCGGCTATGCACTCAATTCTTCAACATGGAGATTGTGTACAGGTTAGTGGACCTTCATATTCCCCCAAATATATTAGCTTTAACTAGCTTATCGTTCATCATGTAAATTATTTCGCACAGTTTGGCAACCAACCATTACCGGATTTACTTTCTATTCTACACAGTTACGTAAGTATAAATTGTACAAGTCACGTTTTGAAGAAACGTAGCTTCTCTATCCCGATATCTTTACATTTTATGCCTTATTTGGCACACTTATATAGATATAGATATAATAGGACGCTAAACTTTAACAAAGTTAGCATGTCGCAATCAGTCTCAATAGAAAACTGATTCATTGTATATAATTTGTCTTGCAGGAATTTGCAAAAGAAGCACAAACAGTTTCGGAAAGATGGGATGCTACATTACTTTCCAAATTCTGATGCGCGTGAGTTACCATTATGAAGGTAACATTAAGTTACCATTAACCAAAGAAACATCCCAATGTCTAATTATTGTTCATACCTGTAGGTCAGATATGGTCATATTAATTTAGTTCGTTTTGGTAACCTACTTATTTTATTATCGTGCGATTTTGCGATAAAAACGATATTGCCCCTAATGCTAAATACATTTGATCTCACACTAGCCATAATAAGGCTACAGACGTCCTGATATTTTGTCGTAAACATAGTATATTCTAGACTAGGGTTGCCATACCGTCCGGAAAATTCCCTACATGTCCGGAATTTAGGGTTAAATTTTTGAGTCCGGGAAAAATTTTAAAAAATGCTCAAATGTCCGGAATTTTACTGTATTTGCAATCGTACTGTGCACACTGCTAATACTACGAGGTTGTGTGGAATTATGATGTAACAGAACGTTTTCCTTATCAATGATGTTTACCACTTAGAACTTTCTGATTATTATTCGCAGACTGTTTTACCCGTTTTGTTGAGCAGCAGCTAGTTCCTTGTTAAGTTAGCTGAATACAGAAGTTTTATACCACAGAGCTTTACTTGTGAAATTTTCTATTTGAATAAGAATCTAGTCAGGAATTCGGGATCGAAAGTGCTAGTCCCTGACGCCTTTTGGTTCAGTTAGTCTGGTGGTGAATTACTCTGTTTTTTAGAGTATGCATCTTTAGTCGGGTTTTATTTATTGTTAATAAAAAAAGATATTATTTCAGATGGCTAATTCTAAACGAAAGTACACATTCACTAACGAGATGCAAGAAAAACATCCATGTTTTAAAAAAAGGCTGGAATGATTATGAGGCAGAATGCTTGGTTTGCAAATCAGGAACCTATATATATATATCTGTCATGCACAATGGTAATGGTGATTTAAACACACATCTGCAAAGAGGGACTGTTGTATCAACGAAAATGACAAATTAGATTGTTACAGCAGGATACAAATGCGAAGATGAAATCACTGCCGCAGAAGGCACTCTTGCATTTCACGCTGTTAAGCATCGTCTTATCTTTTTGTCCGTGGACTGTACATCTGTTTTACTTAAAAAAATTTTCCCTTATTCTAATGTAGCGAAGTAGTTTAGTAGTGGCCGCACAAAGACAAAAAAAAGGTTACTAGCGTACTTAAAAGTTTTGAAGAAAACGATATCGCGTATTTTGGCGTTGCAACAGATGGCAGCAATCACAATGAGGAAAGATGGTTTGCAATCAAGATTGATTGAGTTCACAAACAAGGCAAACGAGACTGCCGACACAATTGCCACCTATGTAAAAGACACCTTAGAAAAAATGATGCTTTTGTAAAAATGTGTGGCATTTACAGGAGACAACTGCAAATGCCCTATTGAAGAGAATTGGATCTCCAGAAAAAGATGCATGGTCAGAAGAGTAAATTAGTAGTGACTTGACTTACAAGCGTGTCGGTAATTTGTTTTGAGCATGTAATTGCTGTTCTTCCTTTTCGGCACAACCTAATTCTCATTATTATATTCCACTCTAAAGTTGAGATTTATTTAGAGCTATATTAAGAGAGTGCTTACCCGCCTGGTGTGAGATTCTGCTTGTGATCGAAGACAATACTTTTCATTTCAATAGCTGGCGCTTTAGAATGAGTATCGCACAGGGTTTGCAGCCTTATCATTTCGGTAGAGCATATATATGGTCTCATGAAATTACGGTGCTCCTGAAGTATGTGCACCAAGATGGCGCACAACCTGAACATAGTATAGGTTGTGTGCCATCTTGGTGCACATACTTCGGTAGCGCCGAAAATACTCATGCACTGTCCGGGATTTTTACTTACGGTTTATGGTAACCCTGTTCTAGACGCTACATACATGCTCACATAATGATTTTTGTTGAAGTCTGAACAATTGTGTGTTTTTATGCAAGCCTATGTTTTACGGATTGTTATTTCGTCATTATTGTAAGACTACTGAAAAGTGAATCAAAGGGAGGATTATCGCGCCAAATGCTCTTAAATTATGAGTATATATATCTCTCATTGCTTTTTATTAGTGATTGAGATTTATATTTAAATCATTGCAGTCTTTGGTTGCTCCAGTTTCATGGATTTGTATTGCTCTTCTTGACGGCAAGTACTACGCATGCGCGATGACGTCACAACCTTATGATCAATCGTGTATTGAGGTTTATACAGGGAGAACGAGTAAGTGAATTCATTGTTTCTATCGGGGAATTAGTATGTTGGTATATTTTCAGAAAATACCTCACTTTTCGGAATACCATAAACAGGTATTTTTCTAATCGTGACCGGGAATCAGACTCCGTCTACGTGTGATCTCTGAATAAGTTCAGAATATATATATCGCGTGATCTCCAACAAGTTGAGACAAAGTGAATACTACTCTACTAAACCTACGGAGCAGAAATATCCCAAACAAGATTATTGTACCCTTTTAGAGTCGTTGTATAAGATTACACAAATTACAATTATTAATTGAGTTTGCTTTCATTCAGTAAAATATTCGATCGAATATCACAATTCAGTAGCTCAGTCTCAAGTCATCGGATGGTTGGCTACAGGAATCAGTTTTGTTGTCGGAACTATACTTTTCTCGACTTTCAGGTACTTTACGTATAATATATATGATAAAACAGTATGAAAACACCCGCATTGCTATAATAGTAGTGATGAACCAATCTTTTATCCATGTATATTGTATTGTGGTAATATATTCATTCGTCGTGCGAATCTTACCTGATTAGGAATTAGAGGCATGAAATTTACCTTAGGCCCACGGTGACTCTGGCACGGAAAACTGTATTACGTTTTTGGGCAACTGGCAACTGAGTTTGCGTGCTTGATGAAAATGAATAGCACATACCGGTATATATATATTTATGCACGTAATATTAAATTGACGATTTTGTTTGTGACTTATAGCGTAGCAGGTACCTCAATTATATAATGTAAGTAATGCTTTAATATTTCAACTCTAGATGTTGTTCTCCTCTAACTCATTGGCAGAGACAATATTTGTTATTGACGAAAAGTATTGAAAGGACGGTGTTCGAAGAGAAGGCAAAAGAGATGGTATGGTGCATTATTTTAGAGTGGAGGCATTTGTTATTGCCCGTATATGTGACATTGTATGTTTCGAATATTTCACACAATAATTTTTTTGTCATGGAGGATGATAAACTACACCACATACTGATGCTACTCCATCAGACCATCGCTTAAATGGTAGTAAGAATAGACTAGTAATTGCGGAGTCAAAAATATTGAAACAACACGTATACTTAACGCAAAATATATGTAAAGCAAAGTCCTTAATACTTTTTGTTTAGATTCGGGTTGACGCAATTAGCAACATTGATTTTTATTGAAACAGAGCAGGAGTAAAAATGACTGGGACCAAATCACAGAGATGTATTTTGTAAAAGAAATGAGACCTGGTACCAAGATAAAGTACAGGTATGCTAGCTGTATACTGGACTATCCAATTCTGATTATAACTAAAAAAGAGACTCAAAATCAAGCTGATCTCTGTCATTCTGTCCTGCCTATTGTTGTTGAAAATATTGTTGTTATATATATGGCGGCACTTGACAAGCAATTGTAAAGTAGTTATTTGTATTCACATTTACTTTGTATTATAGTGCACTACAAAACTGGGTTTCGGAATCACTGAAAAACGAAGGAGAAGAGGTCGCGAATAACACGTCACTATAAAACAAAAATGTCGATTGACACATGCATACTTCATGAAAATAATATCATCCAATAAAAATCTATTTCTGGCAATAATATACTCAATCTAAACATATAAAGTTCATATTCCAACATTGCTTCTGTGCTCTCCCCTCTTGCGCAGCATTTTTTAACTCACTGTAATGCTGGATCCGTTTGATTTTCATATCCAGGGTCGCAAGTATTAGTGACTAATGTCTTCATATTTAGAGAAAAATCAGACGAGACTATTTCGACTGGCACTGATGACTTGATAACTTTACAACGAAATGGACTGTAAGTTCTCTGAGTCCCGAAAAAAGCTCCTTTTTCCAGTTTATTCAAAAACATTTCAAACCAATTTTTCTCTTTTCCGATCGTAAATGTTTGCTATACTTGTCCACGCAGCGAGCAAAATCCGCTTCCACTGATTTTTTTTATTGATAGAAAATGTCCAAATATCGCTAGATTGAGATCTATTGGATAGTCTGGATAAGAGGGGGGATTCTTTTCTAGATAATGGTGGGGATTTTTCAATAAGAGACTTAAATGTACACAGATTCAATTGATTTTCCTATAATGATTACTCGCACTAGCACGCTGTTCGGAATCGATGCATGGACGACAGCATATCAAAAAATATACACATTCGGTGTTTGCTATACTCTCCGAATCGTCCTTGTAATTATTTTCAGATACTGATCTTTATTGTGGCACATATATATATATAGGTTAAACTAGGCTCATGTGAAACTACTGGATATACGCGCTAATATACGAATCCGCTTCTTAGTTGCCTCGCGGATTTATCATAATTCCATAAACAATTGTTCGCAATTAGAGCAGGGCATTTTCAAATACCTAGTGGTTTTAGAATTGAATCGAATATCTTTCGAATCAAATCTCGAATACTTGAAAGATTGGTAATGAATGCGACTTTTCTATTGAATTACCGAAAACATAAACTCCCTCATTCAGACAGTTGGTTTTGTGTTCACGAAAAAAAGAAACCTGTTTCACCAATCAATCACCCCCCCATGACGGACCTAGATCTTTAGTGAACAAAATAAGATGTCGGCGATTCCACATTTTCGCTCGACCGATTTCAAAAATTTACTATTCGATTTAAAATGCCCAACTCTATTCATATCTTATAATGTTGAAAATCAAGTGCATAGCAAGATTTATCATCGCCAAAATACATATTTTTATTTTTCCAACTCATACTTTGTTTTCAAGCACCAACTCCAAGAGTTTTATGTAATTCCACCCACTCCACATTTTGTCAAACTTTCAAACTGAAACATAAGTCCGACTTTTCGTTCTGAATACAACTTGGAGTGTTCTGCAAGATGAAACAATAAATTATCATCTAAAACAGCTTTAAAATAGCGGATTGGGAAACGGCCATTTCTGAAGTTGCGTGTATCATATATCCAGATGATTGTCTAGCCGCCCAGGGAAGCACGATTTCTGGGTGAGTTTGTTGCTTAGTTAGATGATTGAAATAATAATAATACAAATATTTCACTCTTAATTGACCATTGATTGATTCATAATTATGTATAACATCTATTAATTGTTTATCCCTCTTATTACTTTTGAAGTTAGGTATGAGGGGCATTACAATGAGAAACTCGCGCCGGGTTGCAAAAAGTTTGACTCGTCCCCGCATGTAACGCAAGTTTTTCTCTCTGGCGCATACGAATACCAGCATGTATTTTAATATAATGCTTCCAATACCTGGCTTGGTGAATGCAAGATACAAGACCCATTTCCTGATTTTCAATAAATGACGCAAATTTCCTACAAAATTGAAAAATAGTTGGAAAATACATTTTTCATACTAAGCATATGTGGTATGAACGAATGTAGGTCTGGTGTTTCTGCAATTTAGTTGTTCAAATAAACTGTCGTAGGCAATCCTCTATGAATTGTACGACCTCTTAGCGGAATAAGGCAAATAAAATACTTTCCCAAAATGACTGCTAAATATCGCTGTATATTGGAACCACTGACACGAGCGATAATCAATGAAAGTTTCACCAAGGGAATAAGATTGGTAAAAAAATGTACCTAGTTTTTGAAGAGTTAATGACAACGGGTCAATCTCTAAATATAGGTAAGTCACAAATTTTATGTGTAAACAAAGAAACAGAGAGATAGACCCCTTGAGAATACAGGTTTCGAGAATCATCGGCGCGACGCGTTTGAAATTCTGGAAATGGTACGACTAGGGCTGGGAATGGTTAACCGGTTAACCGATTTTAGATGGTTAACGGTTACGATTTATTTTAACCGTTAACTGGCATCACAGGTACAAATCATCTTTAAAATGTACAATTTTTCCAAAATGATTACGTCATCGCAAATTTATCTCTGTGACGTCTAATTCAAAAGAATATCGCTAACTGTATTGGTGTGGACCCCAATAAATGTGAAAAATAATTGAAATACCAAGATTGCTGATTATGAAAAGTTGACAATAATTAATTATGAATCAGTTTTCGGTCGAAATATATTGTTCACGATTTTATTTCAAAATCGTATATTCAATGTCAACCAACAAGTGAGTAGTGATGCTGTTTTTCTTTATATATCTCAAAGTAAAATTTGCACATCAAACACTGAAAATTTGTCACATAAATGAAATTTAATAACGGAATCGGGTTTTACTAAAATACTTCCATATGGCCTACCCACGCTGCATATCTCTTGCAGCAGAGCGATCACGAAACTATCTCGATTCGTGAATAATTTTGAGCGATACCAGAATGAGGTCACGCGAAATTGCTTTGTAACCATTGTGACGTAACAACTTAAATTATAAATTATTATGTGAAACGTCACGCTGCGGTTAACCGGTTAATTTTACCCGGTTAACGGTTAAAGTGTTTTCCCTGAAATTCCCAGCCCTAGGTACGACGGCTCATATATCATTCAAAGAATCTCTATACATGCAGTAATCGGGCCCTCACGCAACCCAAATAGACTGTCACTGGCAACACCTATTAAACATCTGCCATATTATGAATTTGAATCCAAGCGAATAGGACGATGAAAGCGAAAACAAAGAATATATGAATACAATATTTCGGAATTCACTGATTGGAAGAGAATAAGTTTACTTAGCAAATGGTAAATAGTCTACCACACTTCACGAACTCAGAACGCCAAGCTGCCTACCGAATAAGAAAAGAGTGGGTTACCTATTCAGTCATAGGAAGTGGAGATATGGGCTGACAAGAAACAGGAAACTTTACTCAGGAATTCTTGCGGGCAATAACGGGCAACACAACATTATACGAATTAGCATCTTCGACAATACATACAAATGTCCAAACACGTTCGAGTCGTCCTCAAGATGTTCGGCATTTTTAAAAACCGAAACTATTAAAACTGAGCTCAGACTAGATATGAAAGACATATGTATGTAGGCTTACCATACGTCCCGCTGTAGGCGGGATAGTCCCGCTTTTTAGCGGCTTGTCCCGCCGTCCCGACAAGTCAGCCAAAAGTCCCGCTTTGGCGTTCAGCCATCCAGCATAATACACGAACATGTTCTCGTTACTGTTGTTGCTGTATACCGCAAAGCTAGCCTACTTACTGTATGTGTGTGCGTTATTTTGTTTGTTTCGTTGTTTCCCGCTGACATTGTTATAAACGTATCACATCCACATGTAAAATAAATTCTATTTGGTCCTGTTCGGACGTTCACGTGAATGTAATATTGAACAATGTCATTTTGAAGGTGTTATCTACAGCAGGGTCCGCAACTACTTTTTAGCGCGACCCAAGCATTCGATTTTAAGACTATTGTCGACACTAGCATTTTTCTTGCACAAAATTATATGAAACATAGCACATAAAATTGTGAATAATAGCGTTTATCATGACTAATGCAAATTATAAGCTTTGTGTATAATACACAACATATATATCAAATCGAGGTTTAATTTGGGAGACGGCAACTCGAAGATATTTTTCTACCTCTAGCCTTGATCTGTAATTGTATTTTATGTATGAAAACGCTGATAGGCGGGAAAAAAATATATTGGTTTTCTAATGAATTTTTGATGCTTTGCTGTAAGATGGCGTTTCAATATCGCTGCTTTCAAGCTTTTGTTGGTGAGAACATGAGGAACGTTTGTTCGTTGGAACAAACAACACATTGAGGACGTGAATCATCATTTATAAGAATACACGTGAAACCAATCTTTAAACATTATTCGCTGTTATTCCGCTTATATGTATGGCTTGAGTGATGTATTTCTATCCGATGAGGGTGAGAAGATGAGTCTTTTGTCGGGCGTGATCCCCACTGCTATAAGTGCTCCTCAGGGCTCCGCGAGCTATTCGTTCACTTAATAAAAAAACTGACTTGGTTAATTTTGTATCTGTGAAGAAGCATTAACGTCACTAATGAAATTTGACGACGGTGGTGTCGAAATGTGACAGTGATTCAAATATATCATTATCTATAACTGAGGGCGCAGCAGCCATGGTTTTCTAAAAGTGAGGGGGTTCAGAATAGAAAATTCCCAAGCAACACTCATCGCGGTTAGACCACTTCTTAAAAAAGGTCTTTTTCAGCGGATAACGAGATTTCTGTTGCGTGAAATATTCAATCCATGGCCGACCCGAGAATTTAAAATATCTTGTCATATCAATTCAATTGTGTTCATCGTTGCTCGCCTTTGAGTTGACCAAAATACTACTGCAGGCCTGCCCAACCTTTTTCGTTTCGCGGGCCCCTTTCAAGTTACGAAATTCGTTGCGGGCCGCATACGTTTATACTAATCATTAATACCAGCTAAGCCCTGATTTTGGTGTAGGTAATTTACATAGTACATAAAAAGCAATTTTATTAACATCAAATCAATCAATTTAATAATTGCTTTCTGGTTACTGAGTAGGGCTGGCAAATAATTCGAATATTAGAATAGCAGTTTACTATTCGAATATCTGGTAACACGGGGCGTGGACATGACAATTGTGGTTCTTTGACGACCACACGAGAGCACACAAATCACGTCGAAATTGAGTGTTATATTTGCATTATATAGCGTTTTTATTCATTCATTTTCAGTAGCTATGATACTGTCTCAATGTTTAAATGAGCGTAATGTGGGCAAATGTCGCGGGAATATCAAGTTTAAGTTTGCCTTTCCGTAAAATTTGACACCAATACAAATATTTAATAAAGTAATATTACGAAGATTTCTGGACAAATATCTTATATGTACAGATTCGTGACCAATATGCAACAATGTCAATTTTATCAGAATTATTGACGGATACGCAGTGACGGCATTTCCGAAATCTAATTTACCCAAACAATTGTTGAAAAAAAAAAAAATTTAAGGACTAGTCCCGGGACCAGTATCAAAGATATTGTTGACTTTTTATTTTACGTTGTCGATGTCCACCAGGGTGCAAGACCTGACATATACGTAATAATAAGAACCGGCATTTGAATGCAGATAGATGACAGCAATAATCACACCAAAACCTTGAAACATACTTAACCTATATATTGATATGGAACATAGTAAAAA